TTTAATTTTTTTACACTAGAGTCCTAAAAATACCGATGGAAAATTACATTTTAGTACCTGAATTTTTTTACATTTTAGTACCTAAACTTTTTCAAATTTACAAACAGATCCACTACTTGTGGCATGCTTGGAGAAGGTTCTAGCATGTTTTGAGGTTGTGGCATGCTTCGTGGTACCCCTTCCATTCTTCATCCTCTTGTCCAATTTTTCATAATACCTAGTGTGTCCCTCCTTCCTAGCGATCGAAATCCAACTTGAAACCATGGGTATCCTACCCGACCGTAACTGGTCAACGTGGGTAATTACCCGCTTTGACGGGTTAAGGATCGGGTATGGGTAATACCCGGTTACAAAAATACGAGTAGGGTACGGGTATGGTAATTGATAATACCCACCCCGTAATACCGCCCGTTAAGTATGGTCCATGAAACCGTACCGGATAGCGTACCGGAAAAGTAAGCGATAGAGTATTTTATGGCAAAATCGTGGTTTAACCGTAGTTCAACCGTTAGTACCGTTAAATACCGCCTATCGTTATAGCCTCCGATACTGGTATTTTGTGTTTAAACCGCCGGCACGGTACGGTTTCATGGACCAAACTAAAGGGCCGCAAACAATATGTCGTCCATAAGTCTATGCCATTTTTCCCTTTTCCACTTCCCACTCCACCTGTTTGTTTAATTTCCTCTCAGAGAGTCTTCACCTACAACATGCAATTGAAGGGTGCTCTACCAGAGAAGAAGCCCCAGCTGGAGGAGTTGATTTTGGCTCATATGCAGAAAACAGACAATAATTTCAAGGGTCTTGATCAATTTGTCACACAATAGCTAGCCATCAACAATAATATGCAATCATCTATGCTAGCTATGGAGAGGCAAATAGGCCAGATGGCTTAAACTTTGGCAGATATTCAAGGTAGGATTCCCGGGGCTTTACCAGCAAATACTGAGAGGAATCCAAAGGATGCCATGGTTGTAGCAATCACACTAAGGAATGGGAAGGAGTTGGGGGATCCAAAGAGCAAGAAAAATCCAGTAGAAAAGGATGACAAAGCAGTTGCAGAGGAAGAAAGAGCAAAAGCTGAAAAATCTGACTTGCACAGGCAAACTGCATGCAATCTGCCTGTGCATGAGCATTCTGCCTGTGCAACTTCAAAGGTGATAAAATTCAAGAATGAAGAGGTAAAGCCTTACGAACCTCCCGCACCATTCCCTCAGAGGTTAATGAAGTCCATGGAAGACCCAAACTTCAAGAAATTTGTGAATACTTCAAGCAACTTCATATCAACATACCGTTGGCGGAGGCACTTGAACAGATGCCTACATATGCTAAATTCTTAAGGGAGTTGCTGACAAAGAAGTGCAAATGGGCTGATCTGGAGAAGGTAACCCTTACTTCTAAATGTAGTGCTGTGATTCAGAATAAATTACCAGAAAAGAGGAATGATCCAGGAAGCTTCACCATTCCATGTGTCATTGGAGATAGAGAGTTCAACAAATCACTTTGTGATCTTGGAGCAGGCATTAATTTGATGCCATACTCAATCTACGAGAAATTGGGATTGGGAGATGTTCTTAAGCCTACTCGGATCACTCTCCAATTGGCCGATCGATCAGTAAAAATTCCAAAAGGAGTGGTAGAAAATATATTGGTGAAGGTGGGGAAGTTTATTCTCCCAACAGATTTTGTAATTCTGGAGATGGAAGATGATCGGGGAGTGCCTCTCATTCTTGGGAGACCTTTTCTAGCAACTGGAGATGCACTCATCGATGTTGGGAGAGGCAAACTGACATTCCGAGTAGGTAAGGAGGAGGAAATTTTTAATGTCTTTCAAGTTGATCATAATCACGATGCATTTGATGACTTTAAAAGTGGAGCTCGAGAAAGGAAAAATCTCTTCTCCTGTGATAGTGGACAACCTGAACAACTATCACATGTCCTATCTGCTCAGATTCTGAAATCAAAGCAAGGACAGAAATCCTTGCCAGGTCACCTCAAGTACAGATATTTGGGTAAGGATTTCAATCTTCCTGTTATTATTCCTTCTTCACTGACATTGAAACAGGAAGAGTACTTGCTTGAGGCGCTGCAATACCACCTATGCCTCACTAAAGGATCTAACATGCCAGCTAAGAAGGTCATACTGAATTTTCGCACACCTGGCCCTGCTGAGGTGACTCATATGTTAGATGGAGGCTATGCGTTCTATCATTGCTTGGGAGGGTATGTTGGATACCTTTCCATACCCATTGGTTGAAAGCTCCATGAATGTCAGGCTGAGGACGTCAAACAAGCGCTTCTTGGGAGGCAACCCAAGGTAAGTTTTCTTTTCTTTATTTTTCTTTTTAGTTGTGTCAAACCCGTGCATGTTTAAATTAGGAGTTGAACATTAGGGACAATGTTCCATCCTGAGTGTGGGGTGGTGAGTCTTAGTGTTGTTTGTCCCGTTGCATGTAGTAAAAAAAAAATCTGTCATTTGGCTATGCACAGTCAAACTGCATGCAGTCTACCTGTGCTAGTGCAGTCTGCCTGTGCTAACCTAATGGCTAAAAAACACCTAAAAATCAGAAAAATCAAAAACAAAACCTTGTACTCTTGTGGTAACATGATGTAAATGACCGTGATGCATGTGAAATGAGTTTGTGCTTGAAGGAAATCATCAAAATCACCCCCACTAGTGTTCAATTGCATAGTTCTTCACAATGAGCTTGATGTTTTGACTGACTTGATGTGCTTTGAATGAGCAAACTCTTTTAGCAACATTCTCTTTTGTGAGGATAGTGTAATGACTTTTGGTGAAGAAGTTAGGTGGAGAAAATTGACCATTCGACATGTTTGGATATCGGGCTTACTTGCAGTTGTTGTGAGCTTTTGACTTTGCATTGAGTCTCTCTGTTTTGAATGTTTTATGATGGGGTGAACTGTATCTTTATAAAAAGAAAAATCCTACCTGACAAGTAAAATATAAGAAAGTTGTCATAACAATTAAAGTGTGGGTAAAAAAGTCAAAATCGTGTGAGGCAAACACTCATTGCACAGGGGGATTAGGAAATGTTCAATTGAGCATCGGTTCGCGACCGTACGATGTTGCTTATCAAGTACGATCCCCCGTTGAGTGAAGTGCCATTTGAGGATGTACAGTGACCCTCCACAGGGACCGAGGAAAAGGAGTTGAAACAAACCCTTATGCGAGTGCTAAGAAGCAGAAATTGTTCTTGCTCGGTCACCGGTATAAAAAAAATCCCACTTGTACTAAATACGACCACTCGGCAAGCAAAATCAGAAAGAGAGAAAGCCTCTCCTTGTCATAAAAGGTAGTGATGTGCTTAAAGTTAAAATCATGTTTGCGAAAGGCTTCCCCCATTTGTTTTTGAGACTCTTGCTTAGTTAATTGCTTATGATTGGTGTGATTAAGCCAGATTGTCCTCACGAGATATGCACCTCACTGATGCGGTCAGATTCTCCTAATAACTGTTGCACCATAAGTTGTTAACAACCCACTACCGACGATCTGAATTGAGTGTTTGCTAATTGAGTTTTTGGTAGATTTGAGTCAGTCAATCTTAAAGGGTTGCAAGACCTTGAGTGTGGGGTGGAAAGGTATGATCATTAAAGCACAGCTCATCCTTTGAGAAAGAAACTACTGATTATCATAAGAGTACAAGGGTAAATTTCTTGTGTTAATGTTGTGTTTTGTGGGTCGCAGGTCATGTGTTTTAAGCAAGGTTGTCCCTGTGTGATCTGTGATGTGTTTTCTCCAATTATCGTTCTCGTGTTTGAGTCGTTGCTTAGGGACAAGCAAGTATTGAGTGTGGGGTTGTGATAATTGTCGAAAACATATTGATTCCATGTGCTTAATGTGATTATTTCATGGTATGTTTGAGACATATAATGCTTGTTCGAAGGCCAATTGACTATGGAATGGTTATAAAAGTCATTACCATTCAATGTTAGAGTTTTGGTGTATTTCAGATGAAGAAATAGAGGAAATTTATGGGCAGGCAAATGTATAAAGAACGAACATATATATTAGCCACAAAATGACTTGGACCCGGAGCAAACTTTTGGGCCCGATGAGCTGCAACAGCTACACAAGTCTTTAATAAACTTGGACCGGAATTGAAGAAGAAGAGGAGACCTAGGCGGAAGTTTTGACTGAAGGGGAGGATTTATTTGGCCAACTTGATTGTACTGTAGTGAGTAGGGTTGGCAGGAAAACCCGTCAAATCGGATATCCACCCGAACCGGTCAACGCGGGTAAAAACCGCATTGACTGGGTTCGGGTCGGGCACGGGTAAAACCCGAACTTGTAATTGGCGGGCACGGGTAGGGTTTGGATATTATGATATCCGCTCCGAACCCGCCCGGTATACCAAAGCTACCTGCTACCCATCCCCGACCCTTCGTCACCCACTCGTCCTCACATCTCAAGGTTTATCTAGTAGCGACACAGAAAGCCAGACACAGCCCCCTCATCCCTCAATTTTGATTTTCGTTTTTCCCCAGCTCCCAAGCCCCAATCAGCGACCGCATTCTGCATTCATTCCGAATTCCGATTCTCAATCTCTTGACTCTCTCGTATCGTCTCTTCATCTTCTCCAGAGCGCCAATCAATGACGACCAATCCTCCTCTTCCCTCAACCCTCTCTTCTCCATTAAATTCTTTCTTCTCAAGGAGCCGGTTTCATCCATTCTTGTCACTTTGGCAACCAGCGACAGACCAAGCAATCACACCCCCTGCTCGCAAGACAGAACCTCTGTTACAGTGGGGTTAGTTTCTATCCTCTTCCTTTTCCCTTCGTGTTTTAATCTCTTCCTCAACTTGGTTTCTTGAGTTCGATTTCTGGGTTAATTAATGAGACCATGCGCCCGACCCTCTATCCTCAGCTGCAATTGACGCCACACAACCTTCCCCTCCGGCCTCCCTTCCCTTTACCCAACGGCGAACTATTTCTGGATTCAAACTTCCTCTTCTAACTGTCGTTTTTTTTCTTTCCTCGGGGTTGAACGGCGTCGGCGACTCTCTTCCACGCTGGAGCTGGACAAGACAGCTGGAAATCTAGAATACTGCTTTGTATTGCCCTGTGAAGAAGACGCAAGGAAGTAGGTAAACTTTATTTGTTGTTTTTCATATGATGTTGCTGATTACTTGCTTCTGAAATTTTTATTTTAGATCAATATATGTTACTGCTCTTGGAGGCAGGAGGTAAAAGTTAATATATTTGTGCTATTGATAGGAGATTCCCTACTGCTGCTTTGTTTTTCCTATGCTGCTGCTCTGTTGAGATTTTTAAATAAATGTGGTTGCTTTGTTTTACCATATGTTTTTATTCTGTAGTGATTGTTTACATGTTTGTGTTCACTTGTAGGTAAAAGATGGCTCAAGAGGTTGCTGCTACTAATGCACAAGCACAAAATCAGCAGGTTGCTGCTACTAATGCAGAACCACAAAATCCAATACCCACACCTGCTGGTGATGATGAAGAAGTTCTTGAGTTGGGAAATCTCAAGAGTGACGTGTGGAAACACTTCACAAAGATAAAGAAGGGAGAACTTATCAAGGCTAAATGTAACTATTGCAAGAAGTTGCTTGCTGGTGAGTCCAATAACGGTACTTCCCACTTGAGAAATCATTTGAGGACATGTATGCAAAAAAGGATTCAAGATGGGAAGCAAAAAGTACTTGGTACCAACTTTGTCTCTAAGGGAAAAAGAGAAATGGTTGCCACTCAGTTCAATCAAGCTGTTTCTAAGCAAGATCTTGCTGTTGCAATTATTATGCATGAATACTCTTTGTCGATTGTGGACCATTTATACTTTAGGAAATTTTTGTCTGGCCTCCAACCCTTGTTTAGTGTTCCTACTAGGAATACTATCAAAACTGAAATTCTTAAGATATTTGAGAGTGAAAGGAGCAGACTCATGAAAATGGTGGGTAGTAACAAGGGCAGGGTTGCCATAACGACTGATATGTGGACAGCAAGCAACCAGAAAAAGGGTTACATGGCTATTACGGCTCATTACGTGGACAATTCTTGGATTCTTCGAAATCACATACTTAGGTATGATATCTATTATATAATTTGACTTCTATCTTGTTTATTTATTGAGAAGAATTCACTATTTTAACATATTTTAATGCTGTATTTTCTTGTATGTAGGTTTGCTTATGTTCCAACTCCGCATACAAGTGGTAGGCTGGCTAAAGTTTTGCTGGACTGTATGATGGATTGGAATGTCGATTCTAAGGTATCAACTATAACCTTGGATAACTGTAGCACCAACGATTCCATGATTGAGAAGGTTAAGCATAAATTGGTGATGCCTTATTTGCTTAAGGGGGGTGCTTTATTACATATGAGGTGTTCTGCACATGTTCTAAACTTGATAGTCAAAGATGGGTTGGATGTGCTTCGAGATGGCATTGAAACAATTCGTGATAGTGTAGCTTATTGGACTGCCACACCTAAGAGAGTAGAGTCATTTGAAGGAGCAGCAAAACAATTGGAATTTTCTTGTGTTAACAAGTTGATTTTGGATTGTCCAACTCGCTGGAATTCAACCTATCATATGCTTGCTGCTGCAATACCTTACGAATCTGTGTTTATTAGACTGAAACAACGTGACTCTCACTATAATTGTTCGCCTACGAGTGATCATTGGGCATTTGCATCAATTGTTTGTGAGAAGTTGAAAATATTTAGTGAGATATCTGCTTTGTTTTCTGGCACCAAGTATCCCACTGCCAATCTGTTCTTTCCAAAGATATGTGATTTGAAGCTCAAACTTTGTGAGTGGCTCGTTGATGATCATGCTATGATTTCTAAGATGGCTGAATTGATGTGGGTTAAGTTTTGCAAATATTGGGAAGATATTCATGAATTATTGGCAGTGGCTGTTGTGTTGGATCCGAGATATAGGATTCATATTGTTGAGTATTATGCTCCGAAGTTTCGAATGGGTGAGTGTGTCTTGGATGTGGTCAAAGTCAAGGATATTTTGAATGATTTGTTCATGGAGTATCAGACTAAACTGAATAAGAAGTCCGGAGTTGCTTCTAGTGGTTCAAGTGGCCAGTCACTTGGTGGTTCTTCTTTTATGGATCTGGACTTTCAGCTGTTTGTACAGCAAAGAAAAAAGTCGAAAGGAACACCTACTCAAACTGAATTAGAGAATTATTTGGCTGAGGAAGTCTTACCTGGAGTGCTGATCTCGATGTTTTGTTATGGTGGAAGCTAAATGGGGCTAGGTATCCTATTTTGCAAGAGATTGCAAGGGATATCCTTGCTGTCCCTGTTACCTCTGTTGCATCTGAATCGGCTTTTAACATTAGTGGTCGATTGTTGGATCCCAGTCGTTGCAAACTTCATTATACAACTATGGAGGCATTGATGTGTAGTAAAAGCTGGCTTCAAAATTCAGTTTCGATAGGTATATTTCTTATTCAATAGTTTTTACTTGTTTATAGTCATTTTACTTTATATAACATTCTTTTGTTCACTTGTACAAACTAGGAGCTGACTCTGGATCTTTGGATGAGCTTTGTGCATTGCTCAATGATGGGCAACATGAAGATGACGTGGAAGGTTATTGATTTACTATAATGTTAATAGTGTATTATATATATATGTGTGTTACAACTGGAAATGCTCATATACATATTTTTTTGTATATGTAGATCAACAATTGCGGAGTGACAAATATGCATTTAGCTTGCTTGAAGATTGATGAATGATTGTTTTTTGGTGCTGTAATGTGTTTGTATTCTGCTGGAGTAGCCTGCTGGAGTCTTCTGAGTTATTTTTGGAAATCTGTTGGGATTTTGTTATTATTTTGTTGTTGGACCTATCTGCTGGAAATCTGCATGTATGCTAGAATTTTGCTGCTGCAAGCTGCTGGGATCATCTGGAATCGTCTGGGATTTACTGGAGTTTTGCATGAATTTTCTGGAATTTTGCTGCTGGAAGAAGTCTGATTATCTGCTGGAATTTTGTTGCTACAAGCTGCTTGAATCAACAGGGATTTACCATAGTTCTGCTGGGATTTTCTAGAATTTTGATCCTGGAATTTTGCTGTTGGAAATCTGATTATCTGCAGGAATTTTGCTGCTGCAAGTTGCTGGAATCAGCTGGAAACTTTCTGGAATGTTTTCTGGGATCCACTAGATTTTTTTTTTTTTTGGATTTTTATGTTGGAATTGTGTCTAGAATTTCTAAATTCTGCACTTTGAACTTGGTTTAAATGTTAAAGTTGGTGTTATGTTAATTATCATATTGAGTAATTTGTTTAATTTTGTTATGGAATTATTTGGTTTGATGAACTAAGAAGGGAAGAAAGACGAGTTGGGATCTGGGCGGGTATTCACGGTCTTTCGGGTAATACCCGTACCCGTTCGGGCATGGACATGGTCATGGATTTACTATCCATCCTCCTATTTCGGGCGGGTTCCGATTTTAACGAATAACTTCTCGGGCGGGTATTGGATACCCGCTATCCGTGCCCGCCCATACCCATTGCCAACCCTAGTAGTGAGGGAAATTTTTGGCATGTGGACTTTTAATTGGCAGGAATTAATTGGTGGAGGTGGGGAATTTTTGGGGACACATAATGGGCCAGGGAGGTTTTTTTTGACGGACAAAGATGGCTGGGGTTGGGAAGGCAATGGGTTGGGGCGGTTTTGTCAAACCCAACCCATGAGTTTATCCACCAAACAAACCCGGGGTAAATTCCGCTGGGTTTGAAAAACTCAAACCCAACCCAACCCGCTGGGTATCCGCGGGTTCATGGGTACCCGTGGGTTTTTTTGGTAAAAAAATTTACAATAACAAGTTGTTTTAAAAATAAAAATTTAACATCAATTTTCTCATACAAATTATTCATACAAAAAACACCAATCTATAGCATACAAGCAAGCCGCATTTGATCAATACAAATTGTTCAAAATTAAAGATAAACATCTATAAACAAAAAGATTAATTGAAAGATTCTTCCTCGTCAACTAAGTTTCTTCACTCTCCACTTCATAATATCAACTTCATTCTAAACAATTAGAAAGAACAAATTATACATGTCTCCACAAACATAAAGAATATTAGTTGTTTAAGGAAGATATATTATTTAGAATATTAAATATACCGCGAAAGTAATTATATGTGTGTGGGCGGGTACCCATGGGGCGGGTTTACCTAAACCCAACCCGACCCAGTGAATAGTGTAGCGGGTTTAAACCCAAACCCGGCCCAAAAACCCGCGTTGACCGGGTTGGGTCGGGTGGGTACCCGTGGGTTCGGGTTTTGTTGCCATCCCTAGGCTGGGGAATTATTATTGAAGAGGGGAGGCAATTAATAGGACACGAAATTCTCTGGGGAGAAAGAGCACAGCGCAGCCAGAGAAAGCAGAGGCGGACACGGAAGCTGGGGAAGGAAGCGAAGTTCCGGAATTAATTAGGAAAGGAATTCTTTGGGCGATCGAGAGCCAGGGACACGGAGCGACAGCGCGGAACGAGTGGAAGGAAGAGTGCAGCGATTGGAGCGTATCACTAGTACCGCGAATCAGAAGAGAGAATCAGATTTTGTGCTTCTATTCGTATCAGTATTTTCTCTTCTTTTCATTACTAGCATCATGATGATTATGAACATGATTGTATGTTTTATTTTCGTTATGAACTAAACCCCGATTTCTGGGGGAAACACCATAGGATGTAGTTATTTCTTGACTTGATGGATTAATTCGTAATTCTTTTCTTCCAATCTCTATTGCATGAAATTACTTAATGCTTTGTGTTGACTGGCCACCAATACATTGATTTGTTGTTAATTAGGTTATTAGCGACAGTGAAACCCTAATAACTGAACATATTTCATGTTACATAGTAACTTATCGAAGCGACAGTGGATTAAATAAGGTACTATGCGGTCTTGATTGGGATATCGTTCTTCAGGCTAAATAGTTAATTCATTGAGCTACGACAGTAGGATTTGAATTAATTGTTTAGTACGTAGTAATTCCCGACAGGGATAGCTAGCACATTAGTGATATCCTGGCTGTAGAGAGTTGGATTAAATTGATTGGAATATGTGAATTAATTTTGATATGATAGGTAGTGAGTCCCGGTGTTTCTCCCAGAGCTTTCTCCCATTGAATTTCTCCCGACCATTTTAATTTGCTTGTTTTGTTTAATTATTTTGCTATTAGATAATAATTTCATCAACCAAACCATTTTCACTTATAGTTTGCTCCATAGAATTGATAGAAATTAAGGTTGTACCAGTCCCTGAGAGACGATACCCGGACTTTCCGGTTCACTACGAGATAGGAAATTGGCATATACGCTTTTGCCCTATCATGTATCATATTATTAATGGCTCAATTTGTTTGGGTTTTAAAATCTGCATGAAGGAGAGAAATACAAAAAAACTGGGTAGTTTAGTGGACCGGATTTCTTCTTCCTTTTTTAGGAAGTGCTCTTAATAGCGTTGTCGGGGTAGTGTCACAAGGAAGATTTTAGAGCATTCTAGAAGGATGCAAGTACATGCATGCATCTTCCGATTCATGCACCAATGTACATGCATCCCCCTTATCTATCTTTTATTCATGCACCTTATTTATTACATTCATGTATGTGACAAGTTCATGTATGGGGGGACTTCTAGGTTTGTTCATGACGGCCACATACATTGTACTTAGTGGAGAGGATGCCTATATAAGCATCCCTCTCCCTCATTTTTCATTCATCCAGAAATAAGAGAGCTTTCCATCTCTAGAGCTTTTCTCTCAACTTGTGAGTTTGAGTGAATACGAGCAAGGCTGACGTAGCGCTCTAACAAGACTTGAGTGCTAAGTGTCGCACGGCCAAGAGTTGGTCCGTGACAAGTGGTATCAGAGCCAAGGTCGTAGCTCAGCAAGTGAGAAAGAACCTCGAAGAGATGGCTGGATCCAAAAGCAAAGTTCTCAACAATGAGCAACAACGCGGTCGTGAGGAGAAGAATGATCCAAACGACAAGAAGCATCGAGATAGATCTACTCGAGAGCCTTTGGTGGCGATCGAGGAGAGACTCACGAGAGCGGAGACGAAGATTGCCAAGCATACAACCATGTTTGAGGACATGGAGTTGAAATTCGATCAAGTCAGCGTAGAGGTGCAGACTTCGAAGGACGACATGCAAGGCATGGGCACTCGAATAGTAGGCTTAGAGGTTGGGTTAGAAGCTTTCAGAGACGAGTTTATGACCATCATCACCAACGCCATCAACTCCTTGAGGGAGACCGTTCGAGACCAGGTGGACGAAGTAAGGGAAGAATTTGACGAGCTTCGAGGAGAGCTCAATCTCGTCAAACGAGTCGTGGCTAACAGACCTGCTGCGACTCAATCTACCCCACGAATGGATGTTCCAAGGTCGAAGAATTTTGGTGGTCGAGGAACGCGAGGGAATTAGAGAATTTCCTCTGAAGTCTTGAACAGTATTTCAAGGCTTCGGGCATCAATGACAACGAAGTCATTGTGCGCACCGCCTCCCTTTACTTGGTCGATACGGCCATGGTGTGGTGGAGGAGAAGGCAAGGAGATATAGAAAGAGGCACGTGTGTGATGAACACGTGGGAAGATTTAAATAGGGAAATCAAGAGGCAATTCTACTTGGAGAATGTGGAAATGGAAGCTTGTGCAAAGCTTCAACGACTCACTCACACCGGCGGAATTCCTGAGTATGTCAAGGAGTTCTCGGAATTGCTACTCGAGATCCCCGATCTTCCGGACAATGAGGATTTGTTTGGCTTACTTTTCGGATTGCAGCCTTGGGCGAAGTTGGAGCTCGAGAGGCGTGGAGTGCAAGATCTTGCTACTGCCTTGGCAACGGCAGAAGCTCTCATGGAGTACAAAAAGAGTGAGAGGCCGAACGAGTCAAAGAACTCGAAGAGCAAAGGAGGAGGAGATCATCGGCAGCACTCCAAAGAAGGGAAAGGCTCGTACCAACATGGATGAACCAAGTATTCGAGCCGTTCCTGGATCGCTTCGTGGTGGTTTATTTGGATGACATCATGGTGTACAGCAACACACTCCATGAGCATGCCGAGCACTTAGTACAAGTGTTTCAAGTCCTTCAAGATAACAAGCTCTACGTCAAGAAGGAAAAGTGCATGCTTGTTGCAGCGGAGGTTCCTTTCCTCAGCCACATCATTGGCGGAGGCAAACTAAAGATGGACGAAGCCAAGGTGGAGGCGATACAAGGATGAGAGCCACCAACGAGGGTCACTGAGTTGCGATCATTCCTCGGCCTGGCCAATTATTATAGGAGATTCATCAATGGATACTCCGCTCTTGCAGCACCCTTGACGGATCTTCTAAAGAAGAACAAGGCTTGGCAATGGTCGGATTGGTCGCGCGAAGCCTTTGAAGCTTTGAAGGATGCGGTGACAAGAAGCCGGTGCTAGCACTTCCTGATCCAACCAAGGCATATGAAGTGAAAACGGATGCTTCCGATTTCGCAATCGGTGGAGTGTTGGTGCAAGAGGGGCACCCAATTGTGTTTGAGAGCCGCAAGCTCAATGAGGCCGAGAGGAGATATGCGGTTCAAGAGAAGGAGATGACGGCGGTGGTCCATTGTTTGAGAACGTGGAGGCATTACTTGCTTGGGTCGCAACCCCTATTTTAAAGACGGACAATGTGGCGACGAGTTACTTCCTCACACAGAAGAATGTCATGCCCAAGCAAGCAATGTGGCAAGATTTTCTCGCAGAGTTCGACTTTGTGCTGGAGTACAAGCTGGGGAAAGCCAACTTTGTTGTCGACGCTCTTAGCCGAAAGAGCACACTTGCCGCCATCAGCCAGCCGCAATTCCCCTTGAAGGAGCGGATTGAAGAAGGCCTTGGGCACGACCCCTTCGCCAAAACCGTGGTCGAGTACATCAAGCAAGGGAAGACTCGGCGATTTTGGATGAAAGGTGGACTCATCGTGACTAAGGGGGAGCAAGTGTTTGTGCCGCGGTGGTACAACCTACGAAGGGAGATCATGAAAGAGTGCCACAACTCCAAGTGGGCTGGTCATCCCGGCATCGAGCGCACACAAGCTCTAATCGAGGAGGCTTACTATTGGCCTCGTATGAAGGACGACGTGGAACTCTACGTCAAGACTTGTCTTGTCTGCCAGCAAGACAAGATGGAGCAGCGG